TCCTCTCAAACCGTGTGGGGTTTTAGTGAAGTGGAAAAGCATTTTAGAGAATAGGATAAAAGTATCAGATTTATTTTACTTGTTGCTTATTCAGCTTTCCATCATTGAGAAGCTTGGCCTAAAAATATGATATGCAGGAGATGCTGTTCAAACAAAATAAAACTGTATCCAAATAGTTAGAAGTCCCAGCTGATGTACCCACGTGCCAGAGACCGGGCAGCCAAACACCTGGCATCCCTCTGCTGCTTCTCATTTAGCACTCACCACGTCTTGTACTGAGTTAGGATTCATCTACGTGTCTAACACACGTGAAGAAAAGTAAGTAAATCACGTCGGGGAAGGCAAGGCAGAAAGATGTTTTGTTGTCATGATGTCTTTCTTTACACTCACTAGCCTGATGGTGTTGGATAAGGAAGAGCTGATCCTCTGGGTAGAAACCTGCCAAGGCTGTAGGAGATCTGCTTTTAATTCTCTGCTTTGATTCAGGTTTCCTCTTGGTCCTGGGCAAGTCACTTAATCCCTCAGTTTGTCTTTTTTTCTTTTTCTCTCTTTTTTTTTTTTTTTTTTTTTAATGGAAATGGATAAGCTGGACATTTCCATGAATCACAAGAAACTGAATTTAAAATCTAAGAGGTACAAATAAGCCTTGTCTAAAGATAATGCATTGCACACAAGAACCAACTAATTAATAATAATTAAAAAAGCCCACCATGTTAAGTGAATTTGAATCATATTTTGAGTTTTGTATTTACTTTCTGTGAAATGAATTGATTAATGTTGGCAATAAATATGAGATTTTTCAGACAGGTTTCTCCTGAAGGGATAAAGCTGGCATAAATTTTAGGAAGGATTAGTAATGGGAGGCACCTGAATCCGAACGATTCTTGTCAAATCTGTATCTTGTGATCATTTTCTAGCATTGATGAAATTCACGAGGCAGTCGTGTAAGTAGCACTTTGTGCTAGAGCATGATGAACTGGAGGTAACGTTGAATATTTTTGAAGATGCCGTCACGCAGTAACTTCTGTATTGCCTAGCTTCCTGCCAAGAAAGAGCTTGATAATTAACACTTACTTTTCTGAATGCTGGCATAGGTATCTCCTTGAATTGTGCCTCCTTGACTCTATAAAACCAACAAATATCTCTATTTTTTTTTTTTCTGAGGAACGGGTAGGTCCAGGGAGAATTTATAGAGTGAATTCAGAAGAGTTTCCCTAAAACAATGGTAGGGACATTCCTAAGTATTTTAAATATAGCTTTCTTTCAGCTTTCCTTAGACAGCTTTATTCTTCAGTGCTGATGCGCCCTGAAAAGATTCAATGTGATGTGCCGCAGAAATTAATGTCTGCAAATCCCAAACCCAGTGGGATGGACTTTCTCATCATCAGGTACCAGCACTGATGACATTCCCCAGCACTTCTAGCACAAGGCTTTGCTTTAGCTGCCGTGTTTCTGTGATGGATTTCCCTGAAAGCTTTAGAACTCTGTGTCTACATGAATAAATGGAGAACTATTTACATATTAAACTCTTCAATTCCGGGAAGCACAGTGCTTGCTGTAAACAGACTGGCTGTTGATTCGAGCACGTGCGACACATCCATCTGCTTCCCGGAGGCAGCAGACCTCCTGTGCCGCACATGTGTAGGAAATCTGCAGCTTCCCAGAATACTTAGTGTGTGAATGCTCTTCTGCTGGTCTGTGTCTGTAGAAATACCTGGGATGTAAAGATAGCTGCCTGGTCAGAAACCCTGTGTATGAGCTTCTGTTAGTTTTATGGATACTTTGAAGACATGGATGCAAGCAGTGTTCCCCTTCCCAACATGGGGACTGTGATTTCAAAGCAGAAGATGCCATTTCTGAGGGGGGTCTGAATTTACAGCAGCTTTCTTAATATTAGCAGGAGCTGTTTTTCTTATGATGTTGGAGAAAAGTAGGAAGAATTGAAGCTTCTAGAGTCAGTTTTGCATTTAGGACCAATGGGAGAAGGATCTGGTCCCCTGTGATGGTTTTATTCTGCATCTCAACAAACACAAAGTAGATGCTTATTCCTTAGAGGCAAGCACAATTAGTAGGATGTGGTGTGTCTCCTAATATATTACTCTGATTTATCTCATTCCATGACCCTCTGTAGTCCTTCTATACCGCAAATGTACCAGACTGGCCATAGTCCCATTTGTATTTTAATTGGCAGACTGCCTCTGAGAAGCATGTTGGATGGAATATGTGTATGACTGATTAGTATGCATTTTCTTTTGGGAGAAGTTTAAGCTTTTGTAACTCTAAGGAGGGAAAAAAATTAAAATATGGGAAATAAAAGTCCTAGATTGGAAATATTCGTGTAACAGTAACATTTTCTGGTGCCAATAAAATGAGCTGGTTCTTTTTAAAACTTTATATATGCCATGATTTTCTTACAAAATTCTCAATTATACAGAATGTCCACCGTTACCTTGTTTTCATGCGGTTGTGATATTCTGTTTGAAAAATTTTTCAGGTGCAGAGTAATGAATATGAATGTATTGTGTTTGTCCTCTTTGTCTTATTTGTGCAGTTTGAAGTTTAAAAAGTTCTGTAATACTTCAGAAGCAATGATGTCTTTTTGGTTTGCAACATTGCCTCTTTCACTCGTTTACCATGATTTTGGCCAAGAATATATAAAAAAACCCCACATCACAAAAAAAAAAAAAAATCACCAAAAAAACCCCACACCATCGTTTTATGTGCACTGAATGTGTACACCACCACCTCTATTCAAACCCATGATTTTTGCTCTCAAACTTAATTTCCTTTTCAAATGGAAAAAGTTACTTTTCCTCTTCCTGGAATTTTGATGTTGACCATTTCCAAAATTCCTAATTTCCATTTTTGCTAGATGTAAATCTTCCTTCCTTCAAGTGATGGTCACAATGAAATCTTTTGGTGCAGTTGCCAGGTTATGGCAGAAGTTGAGGGAAGAAAGTAAAGTTTGTTACAAGAGCTAGTAGAAACTTATATAACACGCTGATATATCATTTTACAGCCATGAAGGCTCGAGATGCCAGCATGGCACTTCACAGATCTCTGGCAAATCCCCTACCCCAGGAGATTTTCCGCTGACAGGCAGACAACTAGTATTTTCAGAAGGCTACAAACTTTTTAAAGTTGTTTAACAAATGTTGAAGTAGAGTGTGGATTACAGGTGGCAGTTGCATTCATCTTCTCAATACAATAATAAGAAGTTCAGGCTGCTTGGCAATAGTCAAGACTTTTCCACTTAAAACAACATGAATGGCAAAATGTATTCATTGAAGAGGGCTGGTGAAAGACTTGCAAAGGAGTGGTCTAGTGTCCTAAAAAGGGACACTGGGTTTGTTCAGTCATTTTTTTCAAAATCACATACCTCATCTTTACTTTGGGGGTATTAGTAAATTACATGAAGATGTGTTTTCCTAAATCCTGCTAACTACCTAATCTTTGGTTATAGGTATCATTGTAAGTCTGAACATCAGTTTGAAACTTGTGTGAGTGGGACCACTCTTACTCAGAGAATTAAATAGCAGATGGAAATCTAAAGTTATAAATTTTCTGCTGCCATGCATTGGCTTAGGCATTATTTGAAGGTCACTATTTTGTACAAGATGAAGCTGGGAGAACCTGTGCTGATCTCATGGCTGATGAGTTTGTTCTTGTTTTGCCCCTGTCCCTTTTTTGGTCTTCACTAGAAGGCTGACTGTCTTAGCGAACACACGAAAACTAGCTTGTCCCTTTGAACATAAGCACTGTAAAGTCAATGTGTGTGTTCATAGGCAGTTTGCTAGTAATTTTTGTTGATTTTAAAAGAAAGAAAAGCAAAGTTGTATTTATATGGGTGCAGCTCAAGGGAAAGATTTTCTTAGGTGTGTCTGTCCTTACAGATACTCCTTTATCTCTGATCCATACACTCTGCTTCTCCCATAACTGCCCAAACTGCCCCTATTCTCCTTTCTAGTCCCAAGAATTTACCCTGGTTTCACTCCCAGCAATCTGACCATGTAGCTTAGCTGAGAATCTGTGTTCAGGAAAGACTGCTCTAGAGGACTGCTGGTTACACACCATCAGTTTATATACATGAAAATGGAATTTAAGTATCCTGGACTGACTTTATGGCACAAAGATACCTCCAAGCCACAACTCTCCTCCAAGTCACTGCCTACTGATAACAGGAAGGTGTTGGGGAAAAATAAATTACTGGTGCCCTTTCAAACCAACAAATATACATGTTGCCATGAGGAATGCCTAGACAGTGTAAAAGCTACATATCTTTAACTCCACTCAGAATACTGAAAACAGCATTTTATTTCTCCTCATACTCTTCTTTAGCTGAATACAGACAAGGCATGATTTAAGTATGAATGAAGATTTTGCTTTTTTAGATTAAAAGGAGTTTTTGCTGTAAATCAGATGACAGGCGACTGGAGGGATCAGCCTACTGAAGACTGAGTTACATATTGTAGTCATGCGATCAATTGGACTCTGCGGTGCAGAGACAGAATTGTCCCTTTGTCCCTATATATAGCTGATAAATAGAAGAATGACTGCAGGCTCCAGTCATTCTTGTATTAGAAAAAATTGAAATTTTGCTGGTTGAAATTCATGGACTTTTCATCCTAGAGAATTTAATTTTTTTCCCCTGTTCTCTGATAATAATATCAGAAATAATAAATATTGTGTAGCTGAAAAGGTAAGATTTTTGAACAGTGGATGCATCTGTTCTAGATAAGCCATTAATCCTGAAATCTGTGTATAAAAGGAATCCCAGAATATTACCTTGTTGCGTTTTTTTTGTTTCTATGTGCTAGGCTTTTTTAATTATCTGCTGAATCTAGATTTGCATGTCCCTTTTCCAGCCAAGTGTTGACATGACTTTGCCAAGTGAGATTTCTGTTGCTAGCAGCCTTACAAGCTTTATTACATTAAACACAATTTGCAGTCATTCTAAGTTAAGAAAAAAAATAACTTAGATACTCTTTGTCTTTTTCAAGGAGTAACTGGGTGACCTCTTACAGAGTATTGGTGAGCAATGACAGCCATGCATGGACTGCTGTCAGAAATGAATCTGGAGATGTGGTGAGTATCACAAACCAGATGTTTTATGAAGAAGAGCAGAGGTGGGAAAGTGAGGGGTCTCCATGCGGAGTTCTGATTTGCATGATTAGTCAGTATAAGACTACAAGGCAACATCTCCCAGTGGTCCCACTAATTTTAAGACCAAATCATGTTCTGTAGAGAGGGGCCCAGAATGTCTTATATGGCAAATCCACATGTGTCTGCCAATGGATATGGACCCCAGTAGTGATCTTGCCTGGGATGAGACATATTTCTTGTTGCATGGCCCATGCAAGGGTTAGTGTTGGTCTGTTGGTCCCCGGGGACATCTCACACCCATGAGGTACCTGTTGCTGGAGGGAGGGTGTGGAGCTCTGGCTCCATCACCCCTCTCTCAGAGGCATGGGGGGATTGTGCTCTTCGAAGAGCAGTTCCGACCTGAGCCACCATCACCTTGGGGCTGTACCAGGTGGCTTTATCTCATTCTGTTAGAAAAGGTGCTAAAATACTTTCTGAAGAACTTATCTTGCCCTTTCTGTATGTTTGGCCTACGTAGATTTTTGAAGGAAACAGTGAGAAAGAGATCCCAGTTCTCAATATGTTGCCGGTGCCGCTGGTTGCGCGCTATATCCGAATAAACCCTCGGTCCTGGTTCCAAGAAGGCAGCATCTGTATGAGACTGGAAATCTTAGGGTGTCCTTTGCCAGGTAAGAGTCTTTCTCAGTTGATGCTGACACGGCTGCCTGTGGTGAGACTCGGATATCCTTTGGATATCTTTGCTTTTGATATATAAAAAAGAAAAAAATCTGTCTGGGTACACGGACTGTACCAGGATAACTCTTCAAATGCAACCACATGGTATCTGTAAGTGACTTTATTAATAAAACAAGATTGCATGGATGATCTAACAAGATTTTTTCTGTTGTTTGGGCTGAGGTGCAGTGTAATCAGTCTTACTGAGTGCACATGCACTAGGGAAGCAGTGGAATTATGTATCAGGACAGTCACTTGCAGATGTCTTAAGCTTCCAAGGCAAGAGAGAAACATTATAATTCTGTAGCCTGATTTTTAATTTTTTTTAAAATTATTATTTCATTGTACAGGCTGTAAGACTTCCCTGAATTAATTTGGAGGCAAATACTGTGACTGAACTAGTGTTTGTATGAGGGAGGGGAGTTTGGATATAAAGAATTTCTAGCAAATTTCAAGTGTTAGCAAACCCAGCATGATCCCTGGTAAGTCTCAGGTGAAGGGAAACAATCCTGTCCTTGGTAAAGACTGTGGAAAAGGCACAACCTTATCTTTTGCACAAGCTTCAGGTGTTGGCTGGTTCTCTTACATGAGTGCAAAATACAAGTAGGGTTTTGCTGAACGATGTACACAGAGTGAAACCTTACACAAGGCCACTTAAAAAGAAAGGCTACTCAGTACTACAAATTATGGTAAAGGCATGTTTCTGTTGAGCACATTATAAATAGTAGCCTTATGGTGGATTTGTGTCTACATATGTATGAATATAAATATTTGAAAAACTTCGTTCAAACCTAAGTTGCCCGCTACTCATTTCACATCTCTCATCTCTTTTTTTTTTTTCCTCTTTGATCTTAAATTTTGGCACCTTGGGGATAGCTCTCTCTTTTTTTTTTTTTTTTTTTGCAGGGGGCTATGAATAATATTTTCAGAAATACTAGAGCCAGAAACAGAACTGCCTTTCCAGAGCCCATCATGCTCTGACTGTTCCTGCTGCTGTTCAGAGACTTGCTGCCCCCAATTCCACTGTTGATGTAGGGTCTTCGCATGCCCAGCAGAGGTAGCCTGATTTTTGTCCTTTAGATGTTGAAATACTCACTACCTGCTTTTTTATGGGTAACAAATGCTCCTGGGCTTGAATGACAGTGACCATTCAAGTCACTGGATGTGTGAATATTCGTGTTTTCAGTAGGATTCTGATTTATTTCAACTTTTTTTCAGATTTTCATTTATTTTGAATTTATTTCATGGGTTTAGGGAACTCCAGCTCTGTGGGTAGCTTGTCGGCGAGCATTCGTCTGTCCCAAATTCCTGTGCAAGTTTGCAGAGGATCCTTTCTCTATGACACAGGGTGAGAGGCTGAAGGAAAACGCATCTTTCTTCAGCACTGTGACTTTGCTGGCATGCGGGGCACCCACAGAGGTCTCCAGGGAATAACAGAGGTGACACTCAAATCATTTTGGAGAGCAATTTGTAGTTTTCATGATTCTTTCCTATTCCATAAATCTGTGCTTAAAGAGGAAAGAGCAAAAATGTCAATATTTGGCAAGGTGATTTTTATTAAGTGCAGCAGTTATTTACAATAGATTCTTACTGGGTATACTCCCATACAGGAGCAAATTCTGCTTTGCAGTGTTATCATTTGTCAACCTTCAGCTTCTTGGGGTGTCGTGGTTTAAGCACAGACTGCTT